CTCAAGTCCTCCTCCTAAGCAGGACCCACTGATGGCAGCCACGACAGGCTTTGTGGACTTTTCCAGTTTCTCAAATGTTCTCTGTGCTTCCTGTGATATTTGTGCTACTTCTTGAGGAGTCTTGCAAGCAGATAACATGCTGCCGTGTCCATGAAAACAGCAAAAAAAAGGAAAGATCAAACTATAAGCTACTTTGTTCAATATCTTGTCCACAATACACTTATTGTATATAAATACGATGGTAATCAATCTTCAAATACTCAATAGTTCAAGAGTGATTTTGCTTCAAATAGCGCTCAAATTGGCCATATTACCTCTTTACAAAAAGTGTTAAATTTCTGAATCCAGAAAACACAAAACATTTTCCATCATTTATTTTTGCTTCTATAACAAATCATTAGGTTAAAAAGCTCTGTACATGAGAAAATCATCTGCTGCTACATATTTTCATTATCAGATTAAACATTTTCACGATCAGGTGGTTAGATTAAATAGCAATCAAAATGACAACAAAAAGAATGCTTCCAAGTTGTTTTAAGGGATCTAAAACCTCTAAATACCCCTAATGATTAAAAAGAGATCTGGTATAAAATCTGACACTCAGTATTCTTTAATATCAGTCTGTGTCATTTGCTAGTTTGTTTCTAAAAACATTTAAGATGTGGATTTTAAAATTTTGACCAAGGATAACTAGATTTTCTGTCATTTTATACACTAGGAGTTGTTTAGAGGACTTCATAGAAGCTGCATATATTTTCCTGTGGCTAATAGTAGCTAATGCCAGGCACATCAGTATTTCATTAGGCTCAAATAATTGAGCTAGGCCCAGCACACTGGCTCACACTTGTAATCCTATCACTTTGGGAGGTGAGGCAACAGGATTGTTTGAGGCCAGGAGTTCAAGAACAACCTGGACAGCAAGACCTTGTTTCTCTTAAAAATGGAAAAAAAATAAGGCCAGAAGTTTGAAGCTACTGTGAGGATATTACTGCACTCTAGCCTGGGCAACACAGAGCTAGACGCAGTCTCAAAACAAACAAACATACAAATAATAATTGAGTTAGAACAAAAAAGCACTAGATACAGATAAGGTTGCTTTTTCTAAAAAAAAAAAAAAACATTAAATAAACTGAACATTTATAAATTCTAAGTACTATACATATGAAAGGGTATGTTTCACAATGTGAAACAAGGTTTAAAAATACGTTTACAAACAGCTTAAGTACAAATTACTAAGCCTACAATGCTGGCCATAATTGTCTAAAATATAGATAAAATACAAAGAATAATATAACAAATACCTATATTCTGACAGAGTGAATAAGTGTTAATGTTTTAACCTTTCAAGGGTGTCCAACCTGTGGCTTATGGGCCACATGTAGAATATCTGAAGACTGTTTTGCTTATCTATGGTGTTGGATATCATGAAAATTATGCACAGAACTTCATTTTTGCTCATCAGCTTTCATTAGTGTTTGTGTATTTGATGTGTGGCCCAAGATAATTCTTCTTCAATGTGCAGCACAAAAGAAAAAAGGTTGGGTACCTGCAAGTTTAAACTAACGCTGAAATATCATTTGCTCTTTGTTGTGATTGTAAACAAATTATATGTGAGCAAACATCCTATCACCTAAAAAAGGGAAAGAAAATTCTAGCTACATCTGTAAAATTTCCTTTGCTAATCTTAGGTCTTCCCACCCCTTCATTTTCCCTGAAGCAGCCACTTTCATATTGGTAGCCTATCCTTCCAGGCCAGCTATATACTTATATCCATAAATAATATAAAAAATTGACTTGGCGCCTATAGCACAGTGGTTATGGCGCCAGCCACATACACCCAGGCTGGCAGGTTCAAATTCAGCCCGGGACTGCCAAACAACAATGACAACTACAACAAAAAAACAGGTGGGTGTTATGGCAAGCACCTGCAGTCCTGGCTACTTGTGAGGCTGAGGTAAGAGAATAGCTTAAGCCCCCAAATTTGAGCTTGATGATGAGCTATGATGCCACGACACTCTACCCAGGGCAACATAGGGAGACTCTGTCTCAAAAAAAAAAAAAAATTTCATGTTTGGTTTAAAAATGCATAAACTATATATTACATGAAACGTTCTGCAATTTGCATTTTTAATATATATATATTATTTTATTTTATTTATTTATTTATTTATTTTTTTGAGACAGAGCCTCAAGCTGTCCCCCTGGGTGAGTGTCATGGCATTACAGCTCACAGCAACCTCCAACTCCTGGGCTCAAGCGAGTCTCCTGCCTCCGCCTCCCAAGTAGCTAGGACTACAGGCGCCGGCCACAACGCCCGGCCATTTTTTGGTTGCAGCCGTCATTGTTGTTTGGCGGGTCCAGGCTGGGGATCGAACCCGCCACCTTAGGTGTACGTGGCTGGCGCCTTAGCTGGTTGAGCTATAGGCGCCGAGCCAATATAGATATATATTTTTTTGAGACAGAGCTCAAGCTGTCCCCCCGGGGAGAGAGCCATGGCATCACAGCTCACAGCAACCTCCAACTCCTGGGCTCAAGCGAGTCTCCTGCCTCAGCCTCCCAAGTAGCTGGGACCACAGGCACCTGCCACAACGCCCAGCTATTTTTTGGTTGCAGCCATCATTGTTATTTGGCGGGCCGGATTCGAACCTGCCACCTTAGATGTATGTGGCTGGTGCCTTAGCCACTTGAGCTACAGGCGCCAAGCCTGCCTTTTTAATGTTAACGTTACGTTTTTGAGTTATAACATTAAGTTGTGAATCTAGCTAATTCCTTTTGTTTTGTAGTATTTAATCATGTGAATATTCCATGTTTTGCTTATCCATTAACATTTGGTTTGTTTCAAATTCTTCATTATTTTAAACTAAATAGGACTGAAGATCCTTGTACATTGGTCCTTACCAAAAAAGAGATTTCTCTAGATTATATAACATATATTTTCAATTTTACTAAATGTTGCCAAACTGCTCTCCAAAGGGGCCATACCACTGGCATTCCTACTAGTAATATATTAACTTTCTTATTTCCCTGAGTCCTAGCTAACGCATGGTATTTTCAAACTTTTAAAATGTTTGCTAGTTTGATGAGTTAAAAATGGCATGAGTTATGAGTTTAATTTTATAGCATTTTATTCTGCTCAAAAAAAAACTGCTCAACTTCTTTTTTTTGAGACAGAGCCTCAAGCTGTCCCCCTGGGTAGAGTGCCGTAACATCACAGCTCACAGTAACCTCCAACTCCTGGGCTCAAGTGAGTCTCCTGCCTCCACCTGGCTATTTTTTTTTTGGTTGCAGCCATCATTGTTGTTTGGCAGGCCCAGGCTAGATTCGAATCCGCCACCTTAGGTGTATGTGGCTGGCGCCTTAGCCACTTGAGCCACAGGCACCAAGCCTGCTTTCAACTTCTTTAAGGAAAGGCTGTACTTAGTCAGATGCGATTTAAACAAGTGGCCCCCTCCCTCTCTTTTGTTAACTTTATTATACTCACAAAAGGCGATTTCAAGTTTCCTAAAACTTACTTGATATCAGCACCTGCAATAAAGCAGCCTGGCTTTGATGAGATAAGGACGGCACTTCTGATTTGATCATTAGCCCAGACTTCATTCATTACTTCTATGAACTCTGAATGCACTTCTTTACTCAGCGTATTTACCTGCCAAAGGGAAATATATAAATCCAAGGGTTTCAATTTTAAGTAAAAGATGTATATATCACTATCAAAAGCTATTTTGATTATGTGATTATAGGAAATATGTTTATCCAGCAGAAATATACTATTAGGAGCATGCAAGAATCTCCCTCTTACCCCTATCCGTAACCCAGTAGCTTTCTATTCAAGCAGCTTTGGCCAACTATAAGCATCCTTCTCTTTAAAAATAGGTGTACTCAAAGCAGGAAGTCAGGGTCATATTCCTGAGAGTCTGAATCATATGCAGGCTATAAATAAATCTACAAATATTTACTATTAAAAAATACAATTTTTTTAATAATATTAAGGGAGAGAGGAAATCAAAATAAGACACAGGTTTGTAAATATGTGTTGAAATTGAATTAAATGTGATTATGTCTTAGAAGAAAAAAAATGTTGTCTTTGGGTTTGGATTATGAGTGATTATTATTTTTTTCTTTATAAATTTTTTTTTAGTTTTTTTTGAGACAGCGCCTCAAGCTGTAGCCCTGGGTAGAGTGCTATGACATCACAGCTCATAGCAACCTCCAACTCCTGGGCTCAAGCGAGTCTCCTGCCTCCGCCTCCCAAGTAGCTGGGACTACAGGTGCCTGCCAC